TTTTTGTACTAATTATAGGGCGCTAAATGAAGCAACAATAAAAGACCGCTTTCCAATTCCAACAGTAGATGACATGATCGATGAATTGCATGGAGCCATGTATTTCACCAAGCTTGAACTTAGAGTTGGATACCATCAAATCCGAGTTCATCCCGATGATGTGCACAAGACAGCTTTTCAAACGCATAGTGTACATTACGAATACCTTGGCATGCCTTTTGGACTTTGTAATACGCCTTCAACATTTCAACCCACAATGAATTCCATCTTCAAGCCATTCTTGCGTAAGTTCGTGCTTGTATTTTTTGATGATATTTTGGTGTATTGTCGCTCTTGGGAGGTGCATGTAGAACACGTCAGAATGGTTTTTAAAATTTTGTGAAATCGGCAATTTTTTCTTAAACAATCTAAATGTGCATTCAGACAAGAAAGGGTAGATTATTTTGGGGCACCTAATTTCGAATTAAGGAGTGCAAGTGGATGAAAGCAAGATTGCAGCGATGAAGAATTGGCCTAGACCCACGAATGTAACAGAGCTTTGTGGTTTCTTAGTACTTACAGGATATTATCGTAAGTTTGTGCGCGATTACGGAATTATTGCAGACCCTCTAACACAATTGTTGAAGAAAGGACAATTCCACTGGGATGAAAATTCAGAAAAAGCCTTCGAGAAGTTCAAATTTGCAATGACTACTACCCCAGTATTGGCCATTCCTAATTTTACTGAAACTTTTGTCATAGAAACCGATGCTTCAGATGTAGATATTGGAGCTATATTGTCCCAACAAGGTAGACCAGTGGCATTTTTGAGTAAAGCATTGGGTCCAAGAAAGAAAGCTTGGCCTATTTATTCAAAGGAGATGCCTGCTATTCTTGAAGCTATTCGATGTTGGAGACCCTACCTTTTGGGCAGGAAATTTCAGATCTTAACGGATCAACGCAGCTTGAGATATTTCTTGAAGCAACGTGTAGCTACCCCAGAGCAACAAAAATGGGCCACAAAGTCGCTAGGCTACGAATATGAAATAGTATATAGATCTGGGAAGGAGAACAGTGCAACAGATTCACTTTCTAGGAAAATGGGGTCACCAACTATATGGGCAATTTCAGAGCCACAGTTCTTTATATGGGATGAAATAAGAAGGGAAGTAGCTGACAGCACATGGGTTCAAGAAATAAAGAGCTACTTAGAATCTAATGATGAAGGGGTACCTAATTATGAATGGAGGAATGGATTATTATGGTTTAAGGGACGAGTAGCAATTCCACCAGATTCAACCTTGAAGTCTCTTCTACTACAGGAGTTCCATGACACAAAAACTGGAGGCCATTCAGGAGTATTGCGGACTTCGAATAGAATAGCCCAAGCTTTTCATTGGAGTGGACTCAAGAAGGATGTGCAAAATTATGTAGCAGCATGTGATGTGTGCCAAAGAAATAAGACCGACTCTCGATCACCAGTAGGTCTCCTTCAACCTCTTCTCGTGCCTTCACAAGTATGGGATGACATTTCTATGGACTTCATAGAAGGTTTGCCAAGCTCCAACGGAAAAAATAGCATACTGGTTGTAGTAGGTCGCCTCTCAAAATACGCCCACTTCATTGCTGTGACTCATCCATTCACAGCCAAGAAAATTGCAGAGGGGTATGTTGAAAATATGGCTCGCCTTTATGGTATTCGTCGAACTATTATTAGTGACCGTGTTGCTTTGTTTACAAGTAATCCTTGGCAGGAATTCTTTAAGTTGTAAGGAACACAATTTAAGATGTCATCTGCCTATCACCTCGAGACTGATGATCAGACGGAAGTAGTAAATCGAAGCCTTCAGTAATATCTTCCATGCCTATCAAGTCAAGCACCAAAGCAATGAAGTCATCATTTGCCATGGGCAGAATTCTGGTATAATACCACAGTCCACCGTGCGATTGGACTGACCTCGTTTCAGGCTTTGTATGGGAGACCTCCGCCTGTAATTACTCGTTATTTGCCAGGCAGTGTAGTGGTGCAAGAAGTGGATAAAGAGCTATGTGACCGAGATGAACTGCTACGACGCCTAAAGCAAAATTTGGAAAAGGCCAGGAACCGAATGAGGCAACATGCAGATGCCCACCGTCGTGATGATTCTTTTGAGGCGAATGGCTGGATTTTTCTGAAATTACAACCATTCAGACAGCAATCAGTGTTCAAAGAAGCTAATCAAAAGCTTGCTAATTAATACTTTGGACCTTATCGGGTGATGGAAAAAATAGGGGCCGTAGCTTACAAATTGGAGCTGCCAGAGCATTCAAAGGTACACAGGTATTCCACATATCCTGCCTTAAACGACACATTGGAATAGGAGAAGTTTCGCAGTGCACGACACCTCCCGTTTCAGAAGATGGATGTCTAGAGCCTGAACTAATTGTTGCCAAGGATTTTCGTTGGGTAAAGCAGGGTAATAGAATTGTAGTTGAAGTGTTGGTACAATGGAAGCATATGGCCGATGAAGAAGCCACCTGAGAGTCAATTCAACACATGCACAACCAATTCCCAAATTTCCACCTTGAGGACAAGGTTGAAGTTCTAGGGACGGGGCGTGGTGGGACTCGAAGAATAAGGAAGCCCAATCCCAAATATTTGGCTATGTTAGCCGCAGAAACAGGAGGGCCAATCCAAAAGCTGCTGGAAGTAATCGGGGATATCTTATCTGTTCCTTGTCTTCAGGTCCAAGTGAAGGAGAACGTGGCTTGAAATTCGGGAGTTTGTTTAGGAGTTTAAGCTATAAATAAGTCTTTGGACAGCAGAATAGGCATTGAATTGGAATTAATTGTAATTGTGGTTTGTCTTCGACCCAAATTGGAGAATTTCTATTGCAGCTCACTACTTTCAGCTTGTTTCATTTACTGTGTTCCAACAAATAAGTATAGGAAACATCGTAAATTGTCGAAAAAAGGAAGGCTGTCACTATTTTGTCGGCAAATTCAGAATGCACATTGTTCAATTATAAACTCATCTCTGCCAAAATAACGCTATAAGTTTTTGAGAAAGACAGCTATATGGGAATGCTCATCTAAAATGGATGATTCACCATTGTTCAAGAAACTGATTTCTATTGCAGATTTTTTGAATCGATCTGAGGGAACATCGCAGGCAGCCACCCTAGAAATCTCAAATTGGATTCGAGGAGATAACATAGCATTACAATGGCTTATGATTATTTCTGTCCAAAGGGGCTACTGTGAACTGGGAAAAGGACGTTTGGAGCTCATGTGTCACCC